GAACAAAATAGTATGATAAAATTGTTAGTGCAGTTTCAATTTAAGATGACATTTTCAGTATTACCAGTCTGACCTGCTGTTTGGGGTTTTTCTCTGCGTGTGTGTTCATTTTGGTTTTTGTTTGTTTGTTTGTTTGTTTGTTTCCCCCATGAAACAAAAGGAGGAGTGTAATAGTTCACTCCATAAACTGGTAGGCTTGGATGCCTGGCAGGTACCTAGGTAGTTTTATCTTCTCTGCGGAGAGTGAAAAAAGTCCAGAACAAGAATCAGCAACAGCTACACTACTGCCAACCATGTCAGGAGCAGGTTTTTTTTAATGGCATGCATCAAGATCTGTGCAATGCCAAAACCCGAGAGCCTCAGTACCTCGAAAAGCACATCTATAGGAAGTAATAGTCCTATTAATGACAGCAACTGATGAATGGCAATGTGCCTCTCTGGGAGGCAGCATCTCTCAGCAACTCTTAAGTTTTGTTTTGCACACTTCATTTTTAATAGCAGAAAAAAAGTATAACCCAGTACACCACCCTTCACACCTGACTTGGATGTGATGTGGCTCATTGGGTAGAGAGAGACCAATGGGCTATGAATGAAAAAGAGCTCTCTGAAGGCTGACGGTTGAAAGCCAGAAGAGAAGATATCTTTCCATTTGATAGTAAGAGTAAACCCATCCTTCAACGTTAAAGTTTACAGCGTCTGACTTGTGACTGTTAAATGACCATATAAAAATAGTAAAAGATTGTAAAAGAAGTAAAAGAAACTCTGTCCAGAAGTTTGTAATATTTTCTCTTAGAAATATTCATTGCTCTTGCCTTTGACATTTTGCCTGTATCATAACCTACACATCACACTCATCTCCTAAAGAGCAGGATTATGCTAACATGAATCACTTTAAATGCCTATTACCTCTGCAGATTTCAGATACAGGAATTAGAACAGAAGTCTGATTTTTCTGAAGAAAGTTCTGACACATCATTTATTTTGATCACAAATCACTATTAACTTTTTTTTTCCATATCTTTGGAATTTTAATGAAAAACTTCAAAATATTTTGCCATCATTAGTTCGAAGGACACATATAAGCATGTCCAGACCTAAAATGTTTCCTTATAGCTTAACAAAAAGACCAAACTATATAATTTCATGTCAGTTAAGTTGTACTTAACAAATGCAATTCCTTCTTCCATGAAGCTGTAGCATATAAGTTTCCTATGATATTTCTCTCATTGGGCCAGGCTGCTACTGTAACTAAATGTTCCCGTGATGGGCTTGATAAAAATCAGAACCCCTCTGCTGAATAAGTGCATAGTTTTAGAGGTTGTAATGCTCCTGCAGAAAATATTGATGGGGTTGTGGAATTTTTTTCCAATTAAAAACTAGAAAACAACAACACCTAACAACCAGAGCAGTAACTTTTATATATATATATATGTCTGGATATGGCTGCCTTACTCCTACAAGACTTTAATCAGGACCTGATTGGCTGTAGCAAAGGTCAGGTTTGAATTTAAGGAGACTACTTAAAAAGAAAAAAATGCTGACTTGAGTTCCACGTACAAACCTTTGAATGATTATATTAAACTTTCTTGTTCTGCGAGCTGAATCTCCTCACTCATGAATACAAATTACATAACATTCAAAGGATATTCTTATTACAAGGAAAAAAAAAGCTAACAGAGTATGTACACAAGATATGAATTACTAATTCTTAAAGCATTACTAAAATACTTTTAAACAGCTCACTGTTTTTCTTTTCTTTTTGTTTCTAGGCAACTGTTTGGCTACTGTTTTCCCCTCATGCGGAGATCTTCACTCTTTAAAAATGTTTAAGTGTTTCTGGATTGCAAGGTCTGATTTGAGTTAATGTGATCTGTTGGCTTGTCATGTTCATGTTATCTTCTCATTTTACTCTCTCTAGCTAAGTTTCTTCCTTGTCTCCAGAGCCCCTAGTTGGGCAGCTGATTACTACTTTATCTTCTTTTCATTTGTTATTTTTTAAGGTACCCTCACTCCATTGCCTGTTCCTGCACTCATCTCATCTCTGCTATCTGAGCCTCACACTGCATTTTTTTTCTCTGATAACCACTGTAGGCAACTCCCACAGCTCTTCTCTCTGGTTATTCTATCACCTCTTAGGAGGGCTCATGTGATACTGAGAAAGGGTAGTCTTCCAGCTCACTGGAGGCTTTTAAACACTCTTATTTAACATGTTTGGCAGGAAAATTTAAGTTCACAAGAAATGCATAGGCCACCTTTTTTCTTTATTGAGCCTTTAGACAACTTTTACCCAAAATGTACTTCCCTTGTTGTCCCAGGGTCATTTGCATTGCATTTGCATCAGCACCCAAAAATGTTCTGCTTCTAAGGTCAAGATGCTCATCTCCCTCATCACTCTCTTAGCAGAGCTAACTCTCAAGAACAGTAACACAGCAAATGTAAAACAATCAGATTTCATGTAATCCTTCACATTAATCTTACCTTCTCCTGCCCTTCACTTTTTTCCAGCTTATGCTCCTTCCTCTCTCATTCTTTGAGGAAAGAACAAAGGGATGTCTTCCTTTCACTTTAGGTACTCCTTGCCATGTTCATATTCACACCTACCATGATACAGCTGCTATGCCTGCATATAGAATCTTTGAGGCTGATTCTATCAGCAGAGACTCCAGATAGCCTCAGAGTACCATATACATAGGAAAACACTTTGCAGTTACAGGTTCACTGGGTCGCTTGTATGGTACATCCCAGTTACTGCATCAGTTGTGTGGTCCTCTTTATCCAGCGAACTAGAAAAAAAACCAGTCAGGCTACAAAATTTCTGGTCTGTATGAAACTCTGAACAGAGAAGAAATAAAACTGTCTATGTTGCTGTTTCCTGCTTGAAGTGTGAACTCTAGGTGACTGAAAATGGAGATTTTTGATTAAAATAAATGTAAGAATTTTGACAGTTAGAGTTGCATTGTGCCAAAGAAATTTCTTAGTCTTTTTAAGGAATGAAGAGCTCCCAGTGTTTTACATGTTCTCAGTAATTTTAATGCTCTTTTCACACACCGAAAGGTCCATGAAGGGCCATGGTTTATTAGGATCACAAGGAGACCAACAGTTTTCTAAACAAGGTTGCAATGAAATCACCTTCTGGATTTAGCAAGAGTGGCCTGAGATTTTTTAATGAAATGTTATTTCTTATCACGCTAACAAACATATGCCTCTCTTGTTCCAGTGCAAAGGTTCTATTGAATTTTTATCTCCTAAATGAAGAGAAGGAAAAAAAGTTATTTTTGAAACATGCAGTTCTGATCAATACATATATCCTGTCTCTGTAGAGCAGAGATCTGTGTTAGAAACATCTGCAATCCAATGTAATGATGAATGTTTTTATTTTATTCTATTTTTTTAGTCACTTATTATCCTCGTCCTCATTTTTGAGGGACAGCAGGGAGGTACATACCATGGGTGGCCTACAATACTATGTTCATACTGTGTTCACTAGGTTACTTAGCTTGTTATATGGTTAATTACAGAAATTACTTGGAAGTCGCTAGCATAGCAAGCATAGGGTTAATTACAGAAATCACTTAATGCTAGCGCTGTGGAGGGGTAGTGATAGTGGGAATACTGAGACACAGTCATGTTGAAGCATTTGTACCAATAAAAATCGTAAGAGAGACTATCTCGGAAGTGTAGGAAGACATATGGAAAAAAACAAAGCTAATCTTCCTACATTCACTTCACTCACCCATGTGACCCTCCTCCTGTGTCCTGTCTTCTCTTCTATTTCCTTTTGTTGTCAGTTTTTTCTTTTGAAGTCATTCATTCCCCATTTGTAAATGAGGAGCAGCTATTTACTGAACAGCATAAATTTGGGGCAACTGAGGACTGGAGTGAATGGATCTGTGATTTCTCTTTAAAACAAATAAGTAGGCATATGGACATCACCTGTTTTGAAGTCTCATTGAAGCCCTGGTATTTGAACTCAAAGTCTACAGTCAAGGGCTGGTGAGCCAACCTTCCTAAATACTTGAGAAGCAGGGTCCATATTTCACACTCTTTTATGATTATTATTGCCAAACCATAGTCAGAACCTGATGGATGTGGATTACAGGTGGTCTGAACTCTCTTGAACTTATTATTTCGTAGATTATTTGGATATGACCTACTACTCCTATGGGCATGTGTAACTTCTGAAAGGCACATTGCAAATATATCTCAAGAGAACACAGTGGCCTGTTTAATGCTTTAACTGCTTGGTGCTAAGTTGTTAGCAGTATCATCAAACTATTACCTCATATTATTATAATACCATCTAGAAATTCTGTGCCCAAAATAAGCAGATGCTTTTGAATACTTTCTTCATGCCTCAGCTTTCTATTTCATTGTGATGTTTTGATTACAAAATTCATAAAATTTTTGGTGATATAGCAAGATCTCTGAAGAAATGAATAGTTCTAACTTCTGAGTTTTCAGGGTAGATGTGTGTAAGTAACTAATATAGCATGAGGAGCATACTTGGAATTCCAGGGGGAAAAAAATGTATATGCTCATTAATTTAACATTACCTAACCTATGCACCACGGTGTGTACTTTCAAGAAATACATAATCACTGATTGTGAATCATGAATGAGAATATCAAATTAAAGTTGCATGCTTAATGCTCTGGGAATTAAATTCGAATTAATTGTATTAGTGTATTGCATTAATATTATTTTCTTCAGAGGCAACTTTGTGTGTGTATAGTGAAATCTAAAAAGTGTATGTGCACAAACATTTAGGAAAGAAGAGTCTGGTTTTTTTGTTTTTGTTTTTGCTTTTTTTTTGTCGTGATTCGGATTGCACTCAGCGCTTTAGGTAGCGGGGAATTTGGAGCAGGAGGTGAGACTGTGCCTCCCCGCGGGAGCGTACCACACCCGAACTACATTTCCCAGGCGCCGCCGCGCCTCGGAGCGCTGCGATTGGCCGAGCGCAGGCCCAATGAGCGTGGCGGCGGCGTCCGCGGTGCCGCAGGTGCCGCCGGCGGGGGCGGAACATGGCGCTGGGCGCGGGGGCACCGCAGCGGCCGCTCCTGCCGGCCGGGGGCTGCCTCCCCCTCCTCCTGTTGCTGCTGCTGCTGCTCTGCGGACAGCTCGGGGGAGGACAGAAAAAGAAGGAGGTAGAGACGTTCGCTTCTTTCGCCATCGCGCCCGGCTGGATGTGCCCAGTCGCGCTGCCTCCCGCTCGGGAGTCCCCCTGTCCCCACCCGTCCGGCGTCCCCGCGCTCCGCCCGCCCCGCCGGCCCCTCTCCCCTGGCAGCCCCGAGCGGGGCGGCGGGCGCCGGAATGTGCCGACCCTGCCGTGCCGCGGGAGGGGATGGCTGGCGGCGGCGGCGGCTTCTCCAGGGCAGCGGGAGCCAGCGCCGCCCGCCGCGATTTGAGCGCAGCGTCAGGACTGCCGTGCCCCGCGCTCTGCCCCTGCCCAGCCGGTGCCTTGCGGTGTCGTGGGCCACCCTGGTTCCGAGCAGAGAGCGGCAAGGGCCGTGTCTTGGCCGCGGCTGCGCTGGGCTGGGCTGCACTGGGCTGGGCTGGGTGCCCGCCTCCGTGGGCCCAGGGGTCCTGGGCTGAGAGCCGGGGCCAGGAGCACAGGTCTGCGGCGAGCCCGGGGGACATCGAAGTTAAACCCCGTGTTTGTGGTGCCAACTAAAAGAAATGCCCAGCGTTAATAAATAGCATGGAGGCGATGGAATCAGGTGTCTGTGTGGAAGGTGTAGGTGCTGGTAATCCTTTGAAGGTGTTCTCTGGGAGAGGTGTGTAGGAAGAAGCGATTTTAATTCAGTTTCAGAATCAACAGTTTTATTTCTAGAAGCTTTTGTATTTAAATAGGGAAATGTGTAAACTTGTAATACATATATTTGCCTCTTTTAGGTTTCAGTGCTACTAGAGCTTGCTGGACTTCTCTTCTAGCTTGCTGTCGATTTCAGGCCAGGTTTTCACATACCCAGTGCTAGGCCACCTGGTAGAGTCTCTTTGTAGTTTCAGTGTAATTTCATTTTTGGGAGGAGATAACTTTTAACCAAACTGTGGAGTTTTATAATTTTTGATTTATTTTTTTTTTTAACCGGTGGTTAGTGTTGTGGGAGGACTTGGGCTTTGTGGTGGTAGAGGAGACGGAAAGAAAAATTTTTATAGCTGATACTTTATTTGAGCTAGTGTCTCAGACAAAGAGAAGGATGGTCAACATTTCTGTTTTTCTTTAAAGAACTGTGTAGGTTATTAAGGTTTATGGGCCAAACAAGTGAAACAAGGGTGAGCAAAGAGGGAAAGGCCAATGTTTTCCTGCTGATGTCCAGTAACAGAAGTGGAAGGAATGACTTAAATCTGTCTCAGGGGAAGTTCAGATCTGATATTAGAAAATGGTTCTTAACTGAGGGGCTGGTTGGGCACTGGAACAAGGTACTCAGGTCATTGCCTCAAGCCTATTGGTGTTCAAGAAGCATTTGGACAACATTCTTGGGTATATGGTTTAACTTTTATGTCCCTTCCCATGATATTCTACAATTCTAAAAGGCCAATCTTAGTGTAAGACTCTTAATAAGAATCTTAGATAATTAGATAATTAGAATTATCTAATAATTTAGATACTATTAAGTATCTAAATAGTGGACTGACTGTCATATTACCAAGTTAAGTAATAATCTGATCATGAAGATAAATCCCTTGGATGTCATTGTAAAAAAATGAATACCTTCACTCTAGGCGTTGTCTTTTCCCCTCTTTCTGGAAAGAGTAGGCAGCAAATGTGTTACCCTTCTGCTGCTATAATTAACTTCTTTTCAAAACTTTAACTTATTGGGTTTTCTTAATAAAATGTGTTTAATGTTTGACGCTCTTGATTCTCTCTTGCTGTGATGTGCTGGCATTGCAACTTTTGTTGACACTTTCATGTGGAGTGCCAGCTGTGCTACCAAGATAGCTGAAATAATCAATCTTTTTTAAATGGAATCCTTTTCTAACAAGTAAATAAAGGCAAATTAAAATGGACATCTACAGTTACTTTATAGAAACTTTCTCAATGCTATGGCAGAGGTGGTACATAAAGGGATGGAAATGTTTGGGGTTTTTTTTTTTTTTTTCAGCTATTTGGTCTTACAGTTCAAGCTGATATTTCTGGTCTATAAAGCTTGTTGTTCAGTTTTCCTTTTTAGCTGATTTAAATTAATTTAGCTGATTTAAACATCCCAGTCTTCTACATATTTTTATTGCCATTTTTCATTCTCATTTAATACTTTTATTTAATGCAATGGACAGCTCATACAGACAAACTGCTGGCTTTATGTAGACGTAGTATATCTGTGACTGCATCTTTGGAGAAACTAGTGCAACACTGTAAGTGCTTCCTCACTTTACATGCAAGCTTAAAGTGTAACTTAGTGTTTTTCAGGGTTTTATACACTGTATTTTTAATATGAATATTGCTTTGTATGTGTCTGTGTTGTATATGGAAGAGCTAAAGTCTGACTCCTTTTCTTGCCCTGCTAACCTCATGTTAAAAGCTGTAGTAGTTTGCCCAGTATATATGGTGGGAAAAAGATCTGTATGCGAAAAATGAAACTTGAACTTTCTTACAGTGAGTAGTTTGGAAATAACATTTTACAATTGTTCTGAGAAAAATTATGTGAATTGAAAGAGCACATGATCTTGTGCTCCGGGAGGTTCCTGTTCACATTACTGTCTAGAAGCACAGTGGTAAAAGGTAAAGGTGATTGAGGTTAGCTATGTAAAGTGAGGCTAAGGTTTTATACAAAGACTGTAAGATTGCTGTAGTTTTTATTGGAAGTTTGAAAAGTGGTTGAACACAGTGAATGGTTTCAGAGTGAACACTGCAAGAGGTCAGTAGTGTGGTTAAAATGTGTATCCCGTGAGAGAAAACCAAATTACATGTCAGTTTCCTCTTTCCTATGGGCTTTGTTGGGTCTTTGTTGACTTATTGCTAGCAGAGAAAGATGAGTGGGGAAACTGGAAAACATTGGTAAAACTTTGTGTTGATTGTGAAATACTGTGTTATAGCTGTATTAGAAAATATACAAGTTCTTAAATTACTAAAATACATTGTCCTATACAGTAAAATATTCTTAATATAACTAAAGAAACTTTCTTCTCAAGCAAATTACTGAAACGTACTAAGGTTGGTCTTAAATTTGATTAAATCTGCAAGAATTTATAGAACTACTTGAAAAATAGGTTTGAATTAGTAAATAGTCATTTGGTTAAATGGAAACTATTTTTAGAATGACTACACAAATATGTAACCACACAAACATTCCTACTGCTTTGCTTTAATCCTGTTCTATCCTTTTCTGTATTGTGGACACTCATGACATCCTTCACAACTAAGGAGATAAATAGAAAACATTAGACTTCTGATTTGGAAATTAGTTTCTCCCATGGCTCACTAGATTTGAAAAGCCTGCTTTATTTAAAGCAAAGTAGAAAAAGTTCTTGATTATGAAGTAGCAACAAGAAACAGAAGAAGGACTTTTGTCTTGGAAACTGTATGCAGAATGGGAGAAAATAAAAATTGACTGTTTCCACAGCATTTGAGATAATATATTTGTATTGACTTAGATGCATTTTCTGTAAGGCATGTTCTAAATCCTTTTGATACTTTTTATATATCTTATACAGATTTGAAGTAGACTAAACTATTAGAAAATGAAAGGAATCGGAATAATTCACATTCAAATATACTGCTTGTCTTTTTATTATTCAATTTTTGTGACTGAAACATGGAGAACATTGGGTTCGAATGTTGAAATATTTCTCATAGAGGGCAATGTTTATTTTAGAGCTTTCAGGTGGATGATTCAGAAGCTTAGTTAAACTACTGATATACAATGGGAATAACTATTTTTCTTTTGATAAGTTGTGATGTTTTGGTTTACCCTGAGTATTTTTAAAGGACGTCAAGACTCATGTATCTGTAATGGTTCTTTACCTTTTTCTCCTTTTCTTATTTCCTTGGAAGGGCAATCTAATTGATAGTTTATCCCAAAGCTCAGCCATGCTTTTATTATTCCTGAAAAATGTGTATCTGATGTACTTTTAGGAGCCTTTAGAGATAGCTGTACAGCTTCTGGTTTCCCCCTCCTCCCTCACCCAAAGATCTAGTCTAAATCTATGAGTGTTCAATACCCACGTTTTTGAGACTGTATTTCTTGTCCTTATCATGACCATGATTATTCTTTGATGCAGTCTTCTCAACTTGGAGAATGATTAAAGGTAGCATTTGTCAGTTTTTCCTGTTTTTTTTTTTCTTATTAATAGAAGCAACTGTGTATTTTTTAAGGCTTGAATTATTAAATGTGATAATATTTCTGAGAAAATGTTCAGTCCTGAACACAGTTTTCTGTTGTCTTTGAAATTCACTGGGATAGATTGGCAATATCCTCTTGTTTCTTCACCATGTGTTCTCATTTTCCTTTGGGTTTTCCTATTAAGCCAATCTTGTTTATTCAAGGTTATTGATGATTATTACCATGTTCCTTACATTGCAGCCAGAATGGTATCTTCCACTTTAAAATGCCTTTCCCATCTAATTTGTGGTCATCGTTCACCATAAAGGTAGCAATTATCACCCATTCGGAACTGGGCCTGCAAAATGTGCAACAAAACCTGCTGTCCTTGGTCTTTATTGCTTTAAAACTGAAAGAGTACTACTTAGTTTCTTACTCTATCTCCTGATGCTGTTTTTGATGATCTGTAACATTCTTTCCTTCTGATGAATGTTCTGCCTGCATATTTTATTGAAAGAAAGAAATGTTTGGAAATGTGGTAGAGCAAGTGGAGAAAAAGACAAGAGGAAAAGAAGATGTGTGATGAATGAGGAGTCTTCAGGATATATTCAATTACACGTGTAGTTTAAGAGTTAAATTCTTCATTTCTCAGGATCTCTGATACTATTTATAAACATAGTGATAACTAAAACTTAAGTTTCTTCTCTTGGTCTACTGAAATTCTGTTTAACATTAAACTTGAATATAAGGCCCTCTTGGTCTTCTAGTCATGAAATTTTTGGTTTTGATCTCCAGACTGTGGAGCACTGCATATTTTTGCTTTTGAGACAGCATGCAGAAAGTGTTTGGCAGTTATACCAAATATAGACTTCTCTTTAAAAACT